CGGTGAATTGGGAATCTCGAGTTAGTGTTTAGGCTCAAGGGACTATAATACAATTGTTTATTAGCGTCTTCGACCAGCAAGGGAATCGTGTCGTGCTGTGAACCATTTTTCGCGCCAGCTGTGCAGGATAGCGCTTACAGGCACAATCTGCGAAAGTATGTTGTGACGTGCAACCGTAGATTTGTAGGTGCGAAATCTCCTCAGTGGAGAAAAAGCGAGACGAAAAATACAAAAGCCCTCTCCCTCGAATGAGCCTCACATTTCTACAGAGACTTTGATTTTGGGCATTGTATGAGCCCTCGTTGAGGGAACGGTGAACGCCGGATGAAGGAATGGACGTCGAAGGGATAGAGAACAAGACTCCTATTCTCTGTGGACTCGTGCGATGGGCATCTTCGAACACCTAATGGCGTTCGCCAGCTTGCCATAAACCTGCATCGAGCTTATACAGTTTCTCACCGCGCCTACATGCCCTGCCCCCTGAAGCCTATATGTGGAATGGATTGCTGCTTTCAGATAATGGTGGATTATGTATTCGCGGTAGCTCATTTCGGGGCAAAATATCCATAGGTTCATCTTTTTCGAAGACTAGGAACGGTATTGGTCTTCGTGCATTTGGTGTGGTATGCCTGCTCTGAGCGGGATTCTGTCGTTTAGCTCGTGCCAAGTAGAACCGTCAAGTAGGAGTCGTGTCTGTGACCGAGTTGACTTCGAAATAGATGACCAGGACAGCTTACCCTATGATGCGGTTCATTCAGCAGTTTATTTCGAGTAACAGTCGCGAATAGTTTCGGATTGTTCCGGTCTGATAATGCCGATGCATTTTTAATTTGCGTTTCAGTTAACATTGGCTAAAGTTCGCTCTGAGCGGCCCCCACCTCACTTGGACTCGAAAATGGTTTGCTCCTGGCAGGGACTAGCCATTGCTGGACTGGCAAAGGTAAGCTGCTACGCTATAGTAATGCCAACTTTTTCAGTGACAGTTTTTATCATTGAGTTTCTCCTGCATCTCAGTGTCTGCCTCTTTCAGGCAGCAGCTGCGCTGGGACGCAAAGATTACATTGACCGAGCTGTAAAGGCGGTCGAATTTGTGAAGCGTTACCTGATGGAAGAAAATGGACAGTTGCTACGAGCAGCTTATAGAGGAGATGATGACAGTGTGGGAATCACGTAAGTTTGATGCTATTTCATAAAATGAATTGATTACGAATGTGATTTCAGAAATCCTCCTGTTCATGCATTCTCCGACCATTACGCTTTTCTCATTCAAGGCCTTCTGGAACTCTACC